TAGGCGGCACAGTCTTAGCGGTCTGGAAAAACCAGATTGTTGAATATCAGTGACAACAGCCGCTGTATTTACGCACAAAACTGATTACATGTCCAAACAAATTCCGTCCCGAGATCATAGTGACACAAACTACCCCCAACATTGGATTGGTCAGTGGATAAGTATCGGGGTCATTCGGGGGTAAAGCCACGCAAATAGGGAACCGAGACGGAGCAAACAGCTAAGTTAAATCTCGTCCTGTCGAGGTGAATGCGCTTGATGCCGGTGGAAATGTACGCTTTATTTGAGATACGACACCTACCAAAGCCTCCTATAGATGTTGAACACCGATTCATGATGCTTCCGTTTAAGTTGTTTAACATTTATATAAACAATGCGAAGAATTAAATCCTAAGCGAAAAAGTGGCATTGAAGGATGTATGCCCTCCCTTCTACAACAATCCCGTTGATAAATGATTTGTATCATTTCTTAAACTTGATCAAATGCAATGGAGCGTCTAAATGGGTGATTTTTTTCAACAAAGGATGCATCAGCATGGCCTTTCAATTTACCCTGTCACCGCCAATCTGAAAATAGGTAGAAAGTGCCTAAAAGTAATTAGTTTTCACTCTACTTTCGTGTTCGATGATTTCGATTAACAACGAAGTGAATCCTTAAATCGTAGGTTTGAGTAGTTAAGTAGTGGTTTCTAGAGGCTCAATCAAAATTCCTCATTAAGAAAAGATTTCCAGGATTTATCAAATCACAACCATCCTCATAGGGCTGCGATGCTGGTACCACCTTTTTTATTCACGATAAACTATAAATGTCCAATAACACGAGGCAACGATATAGAGACAGATCATCAAATAAAACTATGATATCTTTAACGATGATTGGGCAGATTTGAAGAATAAATTGATTTTGTAAAAAAAAACACAAAATGCGGTTGTTCGTCGCTTAGTTGTTTTCGTTTTGTGGCGCTACAGTCAATAAAATTATTCGTTACGTATCACCCACCAACTAATATTTATTAAATAGATAATAAGCTTTTACCTTATGGTAGTAGATGCCTGGCTTTAACAACGATGCCCTCAAATTAAAAAAAAGCTTGATTCTACAAAAAAGACGAGTATTTTCCGTTCTCGGGAAAACCTTTAACCTTTAATCTCGCATAACTCATCAAAAGCAATATTTACTTTTTTTCGTACCTATTTAATGGGCATGCTCTGGGGCCCTCTGTGATCCGAATGAAACAGGACAAAAAGCTGAGGCACTGTTCAACTTACCGATTCTCTCAACTTGTCCATCTACAAGAAATTGTGACTAACGCATAAAACACCTCTGCATTCAGTAAATGTTTTAGCTCGAAGCGCACTTTTATGTTCGTGATTTACTTTGCACTAAGACATCTCATGGCAGCAGTTATCGGCCGATTGAGAACAGCTAAATAACAAGTCAGCACTAATTTCTCTTTCAGTTATTCAGCACACGCTTGGGGGTTTTTCGTAAAATGTCACAAACTACGGCTGTTCCATGCCTTCAATCAGGTGATGGAGGCGACTCCTGAGGTAATGACTAAGCAACTTCCTTATATACACTTTTTTAATTATTAATAACCTGATTTCGTTGGACTAAACACTGTAAATATATTTTCCGAATTGATATGAGTTGTCAGAATTGGCAACAATGGGCCCTTTGCCGTAGTGTGCTTTTGTGCCGTAAGAAGCTATCGTCATGACTCATAAAGTGTACATGAGCGAGATGTCTCTCTGAGGCTCAATATGACTGTATGGGATAATCAAGGTCAAACATTTGGCAAGGGAGCTCAGGAAAGCGATAGGTGGAAGACCGGGCTACCCTGTGCCCAGTGTGAAGAGGGGAAGAAACGGATTGTGTAGGATTGGCCACATTGCTACAATAGTCCGTGGTGAAGGTATTGTGTTACTACTTCTCGACAGGACTGGCACGCAACCCGTAAAGCCAGAAATCCGCAAGGCACTTTTTGCTTTCTAGCAATCAAAACTGTCAATTGGTTCTCACTTGATATGGTGTTATTGGCAGTACGTTGTTCGATTGGTGACTTAAGTAACAATGAGAGAACCGGACAGGCTTAACGTGAACGCAGATATGATCGAGGCCCAAAGTCGGTCCAAATGAATAATGCTCCAGTAAAGCAGTAAAATCCAGAATTGATGGACCACTTAAGGAGACTTCCTGTACACGAGTTTAAATTTTGCTCCCATTTTATGATAAACATCCATTTATTTATGGGGTTAATTCGCGCGCGTAAATTACCCACAAAATTCAGCTACTTTAGTTTCAGTTGCATTCACAGAAACAAAACTAGTCCACTTCAGTGGGATTCACACGCTGTTCAAGTAAAGATTAACCGAAATTGCCCACGACATAAAGATGGGTATATAAGGAAGCACTTTCACTGGGCCTAAAGAAAGTGAGGTCATTTAAAAATGCTACAGGGGATCTATTCTAAGATTTTACATTCTAGAAGTTGTCTTAACTAGCCCGATATAATTAAGACCCTAATCAGTTCACTCTCCTAAGGTTTTACTGGCCGGGAAGTATTTCTACAGTAAAGAAAATCCGATGCCCACAACTTCAAACAGTTGTCCAAGTCCTGAATATGTTAGGGCAACGCGTCCAAAAGTCATGGTGGCTTACCGCGTCCGATGTTCAAGCTGCGCCAATGTTTGATTAGACTTCCTTACAAAAAGTCGGTCACGCACCGGAGCGTGATACAGGTATTTCTCGCAAGTAGCCGATCACGCTCCAGTGGCTGCCTCCTTTCAAACGCGGTGGGTTTTTTACTTGGAGAGTGGTGAGTGTCCTTCGTGTGGACAGTGAACATGTAAAGTTAGTGGCTAATGGACATTAATGACCGATTTGAAGTCGTGCCAGGAGACTTTCGCATATCGAGAACAGGCGGTCTCTCGGCAGTGGCGGTATTTCTCCCACAATTCCGGTCAACATAAACGACTGATGTGGTAAAGTAGAAATAAACAGACAGTTGTCTCAAGATTTGAACATTTTTTACAATGTTCCTAAGAAGTAGCTCTGAAAAGTCATGGCTAGAAGATGGCATAGGTTAACAACCTAATGCGGGAGGCTTATGAGCAAAAGGGTGAATTTTGATTCACCGAAGCAGTATCACTTTTGTCGATTCCTCAGCTTTGGATGCAACCTTAGTAGAGAATCATGCATCTAAATTAAATTGGAGTGCTTTTGAGTTTTAGCGGTTGGGAAATTTTTCCCTTTAAAAATTTCAATTTTTACCCTCCCGTGCTTCTCTAGACTGGCTCATTGCACAAAAAAATATGAAAACGACTGCGAAAACTCGCTTGATGGAGAAAACAGGAAAGGAGTTCAACGCAAACATGGTTTTTTGACGCTTGTCTGGCTGTGACTAATAAGTGTTAGCCTATAAATTGCTCCTAATACTAAATCGCGATAGTGCCGAAGTCCCCAAATTTTGTCCCAAACCCAACTCTTCGCCTCGCGGATGCTGACGTTAAGTGGGGACCTCTTAACAGAACTGCTTTCCAATCGGCTACTCTATTGACTAGATTCAATGAAATAAGTATAGTGAATTTATCCGCTTCAAAGCATAAAGAAGCCTGCCTTGATTTTAGCAATTATTAAAGGATATCGGGATTGAGCATCAATAAAATTAGGCCATGAAATAGATGGATCTGTTGGGGATGTGAATAAAGCTCTCTACTCGAGCTCTGGTCTTGTTCCGGTATTAGTCTAGGAAGGTCGGTTCTAGCTTTCAGCAAGGGATCTGGTACCGTTATTTGAGTGGTCTTCTCTATTGTTACGGGCAAACGTAACAGGAGCACATTGCAGTTTCAGTAAAAGTCTACGCACGTCGCCTTTTCGAAGGGATCAAAACCACTGTTGGCGGTGCCACCTTGAAATTACGTCAGGTCAAGTCAGACGTCCCCACAACACTTTCAACTTCAAGTTGTTTTGGACCAAGGCGAATTCAGATGCTGCCTTCGATTCCTGTGGCATAAATTAAACGTACTCGTGAAGCCAGACTACTGCTGGACCACCAGGCAGAAATCCTTTATAAATAAGACCCTGGGCGACTACCTGATTTAAAACAATAGATCAGAATGAAAAGAAAAGTTTTTTTAATAGAGTCTTCACTTTTGGTGACTGAGGATAAAGCCCTTCTCCCAAGAAAGATGATTCTTTCACTTCAGATTTTTTGTCTTGGTCTTAGACGAAACCGTAGTCGCGTTCAGCGTAAAAGTCACACAATGCATGGAAAAATCGTATACCTTAGTGAATAACTGTAAATTGAATTCAATACAATGCTGTGAATTATTAATTTTTAAAAAAAGAAGATGGAAGGCGGTAGATGAAGGTGGCACAAAGCATAACTTTAACCAGCGCAACGGCGAGAAGTTGAAGGACAACCCTGATGAATGGAACAAGTTCCCTTTTAGTGCATACTAAGAACAATTGCGCGTAGCGTCGATTGGAGTGAAGTTCGATAAAATTCTCGATGGTACGATGTTAACTTTAAGGTATTTAAAAAACGGCAGCTACGCCCAACTCTCTTGTGTGTGCATAATAATTATTAAAAGAATTTGGGACAACGAAAAGAATTTGACAAAAGTAATCCGAGACAATAATAAACTCCAATGGGTGGCCTCGTTTGCAGAATATTTTAATTACCTGAATTTCTGAATCCCACTCCTTTATTGAAAATTTTGAATGAATCATTTGATTGTAAGAGCCGTAAGAAAAGTAGTCTCACCAAAGATGGTAACAAGAAAGCCCGAATGTTCAATATTTGTGCATATGACGCTGTTGAATATCAAGTATTTCAAGAAGGGCTTCTAAGGTGAAGCAGAGTATCCTTAGAATAAACGTGTAGGTGATTCATACAGCCAGCCCCCCAAGAAACGTCAGTGATACTAAATGTTTGTTGAGATTAAAAAAACGTATTTCTTTTTACATACGAAACAGGACCTCCATTTCCGTGATTTTATAATTTGTGTGAACAAAAAACATTGACCAACAGCACGAGGTTGTTTAAACAATCAAAATGCCAAGTGAAAATATAAAAATTTAGACCAGCATTTACTTGAAACTGCACGAAAACGTGCATGCTGTTTGGATCTGGAAGATTTTCCGGGATAGGAAGACGAACAAGGCGTCCTTTGAGATCCGGAGCCGCAGTCATATTACCGACGCCTTTGGGCCAATCAATGCTAGCTACCTTGATCTTAATATAGTCCGGCTCTTCTGTCTCCTCAATCTCAAGGTAATTATCGGAGTCGCCCAAGTGGGGCAGAGAGGTTGGATTTTGGGGATAGGGCTCCGAAATGGATGACGAGAAACGATTCGAATCTTTGCTGACGCGCTCGAACCGCAGTTGTCCTATTCGCGTTGTTCTAATTAAGAAATAGAACCATTTAACGAAAGTGTCAGTTGCGCATACACCAATCGACAGTTTGTCGATTTGGTGACTTTTGCGTGCTGCCTCAGGAAATTTGGTAGTAAATTTAAAGTTGAAGCTGTCATCTTAAGAGGGCATTACTGAAAACCAAGAGTCGATGCATCAAGTCATGGAAAAAGTTAGAGAAGTAAAAAGAGTGATTGTCAATGTATGCCTTTTAGGCGCTATTCTTGATGGGTTGGTAAACAAATTGGCAGCCTGACGACGTTTTTTAACAACTTTACTGCAACCCTGTCACTCCATTTGATGACCATTTTTTTGCAAACAGGAAGCGACGAAGTATTTGCAAAGTGTTAAGACGCACGCTGCATTTCTAAATTGGGCGGCAAACCCAGTGTAGCTGGGTTGGGATCTTCAAGTTTAGAATCCATTTAAAGAATTAGAATGCGTAATTACAATGTACTTAGTTCAGCTTCACCACGTATTGTGATTCCACACATCACCCGATGATATAAAGGGATAAAACGCCACAGGTTTAATGTGAATAAGCCATTCAGCTTGGAAGTGTCTGAAAATTAGCATTTATTTAAGCTGTCAAAGTGCGGTATATTGCTGGATATGTTGACGTTGGGTATAGTCAACAGCCAATGTAACCGACGCTTCGATAAGATAATATCTTGCACAGATTTACCTGCAGGACAACAGCATGACTCTAGACTACAGAAGGTGTGTATGTAAACGTGCTGTTGTCACAACGCTGGAGTTTGTTCACACTAGAATCCTTTTAAAATAATTTTACTTTTTAGTTGGTCGTAAATGAAATAAGGTGGACGGCACCGCTACTGTCTTTCGGCATTTGCATTGGAAAACGGAGAAGAGTGGACAGTAATTGTAAGGGCTAGTTGCATGTGCTCTATGACGCCCATGAATCGGCACCGAAGAGAGTCGCGAAAAATGTAAGTTCTTTGTTTAAGCACGCGACATTGGAAATCAAACCACTCTGCTAACCCCAATCTGAGCAAAGTATGGGCAGAGTATGAATGTGTTTAAGAATGGATATTTCTGATTTTATTGAGAGAAGAATCCATAATTTCATCTACGAAAGCAAAGAAGCAGTGACAAGACTTTTCGTCTGTTTTAGATGCGTTTCTTTGCCTAAAACTATCATACTCCGAAATGACTAATGCGTACAGCCTAATTAACACAGAAAAAGTGGTTTTCCAAATTGAAAAAGATGGAAGGATGACAAACCAGGACCACCAGCTAACTAAAAGTGTGATTCAGCTGCTAGTTTCTGCTTATTTGCTTTGCTTTAGCGGAAATATCGCGAGCCAAGGAGACAACGGACAAAGTGGCAACCAATTTTTTAACCAAGAGAACAAGTTATTGCTTAAGACGGTCGAGTGTATGCTCAATTCCTATCAATAACTCAAAGCATTTTCGTGATCACAAGAAGACATTAGAAATTCACAGCCACAGCGCCCCTGATCTCGCCTGTCGAAGCTGTTACCGTGGGTAAATTCATATTTCTATAAACCCAACAACCACTTTGTTAAACGCGAATCAGCCAACATCAGTTGGTCATTAGTTCATGAAGTCTATTAGCCTCAAAGGCATAAGAGGAAACCATTGTCACCGCTTTATTGTCAGGTAGGAAAGCCCACATTAAACCAAAATAAACAGTCGATTTACTACTATAGGGCTCAATATAAATGAGACTTATGCCATGAAATCCCTTCGCAAATCGAATGCGTGTGAAAAAGCACAGTCTTACACACGGTTACTTTTATTGACATACTGGTTGACAAAAATTCTAAATGATTTGTTAATTTAAATAACTTTAAAGTAAACTCACGTTAAAAGCACAATATATTGCTTGGTTGGTCTGAATTTATAGTTGTCAATCACACATGAAAAGAAGGTAAATGAAGTTAATGTTGGCGCAACGTCAATACACAAGTGCGTGTCATGCGCTTCATTTACATCACAGCTGCCATAATTTAGTTTTTTTCGGATCGAAATGACATAAAATGTTTGCTATAACTGTAGATTTCGCTGGGCGCAGATGAAAATCCTCGTCATAAAACAAAATCGACCGAGTAGCTCTTGGATTTGACTACGTTCCTTATAGGAGGACAGCACTGCAGATGCAAAAAACCAGCTGATCGCCAAAATTAGGGTGGCATTTTTAATGATGCCGTATGCCACATTCCCGTAGGAGCACTACAATTCGAGATTAAGTTGTGGCGAGCAGCAAGCGAACACAGCAACCGCGAGCAAAAATTATTCAATTGGTTTGCGTGAATGAACTTCACGCAACTGTGTTTGTTCAGGGATTGGTATTTAGCCGATCCTATGTAAAATGGACTTTTACGTTGCACACCACTACCGCTGCTGCATCAATAAGTTTAGCTACGCGTTATCTACATTTCTGCTCTTCCTTCGGTCGGACCGTGTCGGTGTAGATCGTCGGCCCTGTTTAGTTATCTAACAGCATCGGGGGGCGTCAACAAAGTCATTACGAGGGATTGCACCCATCCATCTCAAAAAGAAAACTCAAGTTTGATTTGGGATATCTAACTTCCTGTTTCTCAAGCCAGAATACCTTACGGGCATTAAACGCCGCCAATGTGTGGGGACGGACTGAGGAATAGGATCTATGTGGTTACGGATTTGACCGCGCCAAAGCAAAGTGCATATGCACTTTAATTTCATATGCAATTGCTTTTAAAGACTGAGAATGCTTATATTGCATTGGCATGGAAGCCGTCAACAAAGTGGCAATACAATAATAGACATTAGAACAAGGTAGAATAAGTCGGTGGTTCTACATCAAACACTTTCGTCTTCCTGTTTGTTATACCTCCAAAATGCAAGATTTTTGAAGTAAAGCCTGCCCTAATTAATACCTTAGAAGGAGGTGAACATTACATGTCTTTGACTTTAACATTCAGCGTATGCTTATGATCTCGGTCATAATTTACCCAAAATTTAAAAACGCAAGTGACTCACATAGAGCGCCTTAAATTTGGGATCTGCGGTGTAGATTAGCAACACTTTTTGTAGTGTTATTTGGAAAATGTGGTGTTTTGGACTTGACCACTCATGTTTGGGTTTTATGACTATAAAGTCTTACGATGAATACCTTCAAAGATTTAGGATAGAAACAACTGACACTCATTGCAAAGTTATTATTCCATTGACTTTAATTGCATTTACCTAAATTCACGCTGCTGAATACGAGGATTCACCATGTCAGGCACCTTCCTTGTTTCACACTTCGACTTGAAACGCACAGAGTGAAGTCCAGCAAACCAAGGCGAAAGATAAAGGCATGAGAGTATACTAAGTTACACAAGAAGTAATCATTTTCGCTCGTACTCATACATTTGCTCCATTCCAGCGCGAACAATGATTAAAAGGGTTCAGAGGGATGCCTAATAAATCATAATAAATTGAGGCATCGTTCAAAATCAAGTTGGCTAAATTGTTGTAGATTTATGTGTGTGCCATCACTATGGAACTCTTGGTGACGCAGGAAATTTACGCAATTTGAGGTGACACATAATTATCCACGAATTTCAAAGGGTCCACGCCTATCTCCTCTTAAGTTTCAGAAGTCTTCTAATTGCTTTAAAAGTAGGAATGTTTACCGCTCTTAGAAAAACTTGGCTTCTGCTGTTAATATACTTAAAACTGTGGTTTTAACTAACCAGGCCTGAATTTGAATTGTGAACACAAATTTTCTAAAAAAACAGCTTTTACAGGCGTAACAGTCGGGAGCTAAGACCGAATTCTATGGCTCACATGAAACTAGCATTTTTTCCTTATTTTTTTCCAAACAAAACCGTGTTCGAATAGGTTTATTGAAAATAAACTTTTGACTTTATTCACGGTCCAATTAGTAAAAGAATTACCATCTATCCACTTTTGGTTTAGTATTTTTTAACAGGAAGCTTTTGGTTATCATTGAGATTGTTTACACAGGCTCTTGGTCAAATCCCCACTTTTGTTACAAAAGTGAGAAATCACACAGTTTCTTCAATTTTTACTTCATGAAAAGGCATGAAAACAGTGAAGCCACCTAGATGCTGCTGTCAACAAAGAAATGAGTACTTTGTTTAACAAATTAGCATAGTCCTTCAAAACTGAAGGGCTTCATTCAGTAATGTCCTTTACCTCAGTAAAATAACAAGGTAGGTTTTGAATGTAATGACACATTATTCCTCAACCAGAGGTATCAGCTGTAGAGACTAATTGAAAATCGGCCTTACTTTTCCAAAGGGCAGTATTCAATCATATTTTTAAGGTCACTGGCGCTATGGCGATTTATTAACGACACCACATAAACGTCTTGACCAAGCTTCAGTGTCTTCCAATATTAAGTGCATTAAATTCAATTCCCGAAAGTATTCAAGCATTTGCACTGGCGGGTGACCGCAGATACAGAGAATCTCGCCTCCTTACCTGAAATTGTATTTCCATGGACAAGGAAAAGAACGTGCCTGATGGTATTAGGAAGTGTAAATAAGCACCGAATAAGGCAATCTCAATGGCTTAAGGGGGAAAGTAATGTGTGTGAGGCTTCTTGTGTTTTGTTTAGATAATATAACATCGCTAAGGTTTGTGACAAAGCGTTCTTCAGAGGTTTTGTGGCATGAAGAGACATTGGCTTTCATCTACGGAGTCAACAACGACCAGCATGATTCGGAAATTACTGAAATTGAGCAGAATTACATTACCAGCAGCCCAAACAAAAGCGAGTCAGTAGTTAGTTAACAAACCATTGTTGCCCAAAATCGTATACGCGAAAGCAAGAAATCAATAGCTATCGTACTTAAAAAAACGCGCACACGACGACAATTAATGATCGTGAGGGGCGGTATTCACGCATTCTCCGTGACAAGAGCGCCGGTGACGTACTGGCGGCCCTCTACCCTGCTGTTACGAGACCGGTGGTAATCAAATCTAGAATGACATGACTCATTTGCCTATACATTCGGCCCTAGGGCCGCCTAACTTCAAAGTGGCCTCTGTCGTAAATGTAATGGACAGAGAACGCTGGGAACGGCAGCTGAACCCTATGTGCGTGCGTTGTGGTAACCGCCTCGTATCACATGCGTTGTACTTCAACACTCCTAATTGATGTGACTGCATCGATATCCCGATTACAGAGTAGTTAGTGAGATCTAAAATGTTCTATTCGAAAAAAATTGATCTAAAAGTTAAATTTGCATTTATAGGTGAAGACGGGCAGAAACACCGATAATAATAATGTCTTAGTCTCAAGAGATACTCCGATATGCTCAAAATAATTTGCACACAGTTAGTGTCTATCATCATTCGCGTGGCCTGTGGCTTGTGGTCAGGTTTGAATGATTTATGTGTGCAATGCCCACTATTTCACATTCGGTTGACCTCTGCTTCAACATTAATCAGATTAAGCAATGGGAACCCACTGACATTTTATGAAGTGGGGTCTCAAAACCATGGTTTCATGTGCATTGTGTTACCTGGTGGCATGGACACCGTGAATTCCACGTGGGGGGCACTTCCGTTTACAACTTAGTCATCCCTCCAAAGGTTGGAAAAACATCAAAGAGACAGGTGTCGGCACCATTCCTGTCCACATTACTGTTGAAAATTGTTCCGCCAACGGATAACACGTGAACACATTAACGAAGTACACAATCTCAAGGTAGATGAGGCGACAGCGACTAGCTCAAAAGCTTGCTCACGTTGCTCAATGTGGGTGCCAACATTGAGAGAACGAAAGCGGTGTTTGATATGCCTTTATGTGACATAAATCAAAAGGTTTTTAAAAGGCCGTAACTTTAGTGCTGGACGAAGTGAATTCCATCTAAATTGGCCCAAAGTCCCTCTGCTGTCAACACGTTGGTCTAAAATTTGGGCAACGTTTGCTTCTTCTTACAAATTTCAAACTTGGTTTCTATTAAGGGGAAAATAAAAAACAATTATATAGTTCCATTGATTTTGTCCAATACCCGCCAGATTATGGAATTGCCCCACGTCGCAAACTGCTCAAGTGTGGGAGCGTTATCGGATTTATAGCTTATGCACGAAGCCACAACAGCCCATCCATAAACATAGTTATTTTTTTCCAGAAAATCGCCATATATGCATGAATTTCATTCCTTTTATAATTTAGGGCAAAAAAGCGCAGTTTTACATGGGCATGTCTTCACTCTCGAATACTTTCTTTACGTAAAGTAGCCGTTTGCAAATAAGAAGCGAGAAGACCATAAAAATGCTGATTGAAATAACATTTGTTTGCACTAAACAGTTTCAATTGCTACAAAACATTGAAAGCTTTCCCGAGGCCAAGTTCACACACATGAATGACTCGGAAATCTAAAACTCATTTCCACTTTCTAACGATTCTGTAACACGTTTGAACTCTGATGCATAAACTCTTCTGGTACCTTCACACAAGCATATTCGAAACTGGTTGGTGATGATCTTTAATGGTGCAAACTTATTCCAAAAAATTTAATGAATAAAAATAAACGTGTGAAGATTTTAAAAGCCCACGCTATGCATATTACACACGCACACTTCATATTATCTCATTTTGTCAGACTTCCTCCGTTATTGATTGGTGTTACCTTCAATTATGGATATCTTAACATTAAAACATTTAAAATTAATACATATGGGCGTATTTCACAATGTCACTAAGTTTTAGAATTAGTTAACCAAGCCATTGGGAATTCCTTACTATGTTGTATCTTTCGACCTGAACGAAGAAGTCGAAAGCCCACGATTTATTATTTCTAAATTGTGTAGTTGTCTATCTTCTAGTCATCAATTTGTTTCCCACATTACTCCAACAGTTAAAGCATTGTTTGAAACATAAATATTTTATAAAAATTACCGACCTAAGCAGTTCAAACTGGGGCATTTAGGTTTCGTATTACATTTTCTTTATCGCGCTTGACTTACGTTCTGCTATGTAGAATGTCTTGACTCAATAGAGACGGTTGCAAGTCGTCCAGATCGTCCAAATCGGAGGTTTGTTGGGACTGAGGAGGATTCCTCTGGCGCATTTTGACGGCTACCCCTCTTGGTGATGGAGTGCCTTGGAGTTTCCACGCCCCTCCCTCCTGCTCCTTTGTCCACAGGAATCGAAGCTGACTTGAAAAGACGAATCTACGGATAGAAAGCCAAAGGCATTCTAAACACACGCTCTCATTATAACACGTCATGCGGCATTTTATCATACGCCCAGTGGGAAAGTGCCCTTAACCTTTGGATATTAGAACGTCAGACACCGAAAACTCATGAAATCGCATTTATAAGCGTGTAAAGTGCCCCTCAAAGCTGTGCTCAGCTCCGCCTTTTCTGCCGTAATTTAAACACATGAAATATGCCGTAATGATGGTTGGGAGTTTCAAGATTAGACTAGCATGAAACCCAGGATAACATGTCAACAACTCAGAATAGGGAAGGAGAAACAACTGGAAATTTTGACTTTAAGGTTAAAAGAATATTGCCAGTAACATTTGGCTTTACGATTTCAGCTTACTGATATGTAACAACTAGCGAATGGTCAAGTCTCTACACTACGTGCAACATGCACATACCCCAAGTTACCAATCTGATCTAATTTGAGAGGAAATCTGATTTCGAGCATTCATTACTAGCGATATGCTTGCAGCTATTGTTTATTTGGGATGGGGAGTGTCCCAGTAATTCGTACTTGCATTGTAGTACGTAAGACGGTGGTGCCTATTCAGAGGTATTCATTACCTTCCATAATAATGCTTAATCATAGTTGCCAGATTAGTACTCGAATCATGAACGCACCCCATTAAAATAAATTAAGGCTATTTTCCTTTCGGTAATACCAGTTCACTCAGGTGTCGTCTGATTACTCTTATACAACTTAACTGGCACCCTGTGCACCTTATTCAGAAAAAAACTCCAGATTCATAGCACAGACTTTTGCATGAAACTCCCTTTCTGGCCATCGTCCGTTGTATGAAGATGTCTTGGAAACCACAAATGGGGTCACTGAATCACCAAAAATAATCAGGAGCAATCTTACAACATTTCCAGAGACATTAATTTTCCAGTCAAGGACTCGCCTTGCGTTAGAGGATATCAAGACTACACTCCTTAAATTACCGTTATGATGGCATCACAGCGTATACGTCATTTAAAATCAATAATATTTACCAATTTACGTGTTGGAAATAGATGAAAACTCGTTAATTTAGCGTGCGCAGGACCGCCCACTAAAGTAATGCACATGGCTGGGATCGAAGTACTTCATGATAACACTTCAGCAGTCAATACAAACTATGATATGAAAATTTAGTTTAAAACATTGAATAAACTATTTTTTCCCTCTGAATACGTGACAAAATTCCCCGTAAGTTTTTTTGAAAAAAAGCTTTCGTGGATTAGGAGGTATTCATTGCTTGAAGTTGCAATGCTCCGGACATCTAACCCAGGATGCTGTTTCTGTTTTACATAACTCAAAGTCAGGTGTATCTGGTGAAATCTATGTTATAGTTGTGGTTTATACTCTTTAACGTTACAAAAGTATGGCGTTAACCTAAAACTGAACTGAAAGGTACACTCGGAATAAATATCACTTGAAACTCGAGCAACCCTAGGGGCGAAAACTCAGAATTGATTTTAGTGTTGGAAATTAGTTTCATGATTAGATGATTACAATACAGTACAGTTCAGTAAGCAGTCCTTAATTTTTAACAAAATTAATAACGAAATGCATTTACAAGTTTCGCTGTGCATCGTGGAGATCTAATAATAACATTAACCCAGATTCCTCGGTTATTTTAAAACCCAAAGGCCTGTGTACAGCCACAAGAAGTTTTTAAAGGCAACAGACTGCAAAATAACGAAAAAGGAAGACGTCGCTAGGATTTTGTGGATATTTCAGACACGGATTACGTTTGCAAAATCCTAGAATAATGAAGTTTCTGATTTGGCCAGTAAAAATCACTAAAAATTTCGACTTCAAAATACCTTCGGTTGAACCTACAAATTTTTTATATCCTGTTGTGGGTTATTAATATTCCCTCGTTAAACAACTAAGCACGAGTATTTAGTGAGGACTTATTAAACGCGTCGTTCCTCATAACAGTGAAGATATTATACATTAGCACACCCTTTTCCAAACCTTAATACTAGTGAATCCTTGGAATTGTAATTAGTCGTGAAAATACGCCCCAATTCGCAGCCATGCAGATCCACTTTACATGGACAGATGCAGAAGTGCTAGTTTGATGCTAGTGCTAAGCACTTTGACCTAGGGGCAGGTAATTAGAGCAATTTTATTTGTTTGCTTCTTCGGAGAAAACCTTGATATTAAATGCTGCCTGAAAAGTCTGAAGTCTAAGTGCAGACTAGTCGGCCTAAATGTTTACATTATGCCCACTCCTAGCTTATAACCCATCCAACTTTGCGAGCAATAGATCACAGGTTGAACTTTAGCCACTGCGCTAAGTGCATGGCCGCGGGACGCGCGCGCGCGCTTTGAAAGCGCCTAATGAAGGAGGGAGACACAGATTAAGTCATGACGGTGACCCGAACGGGATGGACTTGACCTAAGAACCGGGTGGTCTATCTGAGGGACGGAGCAGAAACCTTAGTGGCAGGAGACGTGATGGACAAGTACGCAGAAGAGCTACGCAAGACAAATAACTTTGACTGTTCAAGTGTGCTAAACCACAGAGTTTCCAGTCTCCGATAATTTGACAATTAAGCCCATAAAAACCTGACGCGAATTACATTTAGCGATTCGGCGAAGCTGCTTTTCTGTAGGTTTGCAAATAATTATTGATTTAAGCATCGCCCGTTTTGTGTCATTCGGAGATGTCATCTGTTCACGTACCAGTTACTGGAAACTTCTTTCAAAATGCTCTACACTAAGGTTGTTTGTTGCGAATCATTTCATAAAATGTGAACCAAAACCCAAGAACAACAATTAAGGTAAGTTTGCATTAAGCATTAGGTCGGCGAAAGCTCAAAAACTGAAGAAAGTTCAAAATTTCGATCTGACTTCTTTATTTATTCAAAAGCCGTCACTCACTAAAGGCCTTAGTTATTTGAGACTGGAAAAGCGTGAATTTAACCAATATGTCGTTGGCCGTGCTACTAAAAAGGAATAAGACTAACTACATTATGAGGTCGTGTTTTTTAATAACAAATCCTGAACGTTAAGCTAAATTAGCGCTGACTAATGGATATTTTGTGTGAAGCGCCATCAGGCCAAACTTACACTACGCGAGTAGCCTTGATAGGACTTCTGAGCAAGTAAAAGATTGATTGTAGTTAAATCTTGATAATTGTTAACACCCGGAAAGCTTGACGTGAAAATTATTTTAAATTGTATTTGGATTACCCTAAAACATTCTACATTGAATTTTTTGACCTAGTTATAGTTTTTTCTGTGGATATAAACATACTAGAGACCAATTCAGAAGCTTTCTTGCAATCCCGTTAGGACACTCAGCTTTCAAGCAAAAAATGTTTTTGCAGTATTGGCCCTCAATACCGATATATTGATTCATAGTGAGTCCTAAAAACTATAACACTTTGGAACACAAAAACTTAAGACAACTTCAGCAGTGTTGCTTTACAAATTACGTAAAGTAAAATTTGATTTGTCTTGAAAATGAAACGTGCAGACAAACTTTAGAGCAATATAATGGAATGACAAAACAAAAGTAAAACCAATATCCCTTAACGTTGAAAAAAATTTGCTTTTATAACTTATGACATATCAGATAGAATCTTTGCATTGCAAAAATCATATATACTTCACTTTTAAATAAATAAGCAAGCGGTGATGTCTCAAAATCACTTAATTAGTTGCAAATATCTATACTTGCAAGTTTATCCATCAAAGTTTCTATGATACGGACATTAATAAAATAAAAACATATAACTTATCATTTGAACATAATAATACCAAGAACTATTTACACTTCCCTTTACGGAAAAGGCCCGCAATTTTAAATTCCTTTAAGTTAGAAAGAGCTAATTTTCTCCATATTAGGATAAATATTCACGACAAACAAGTTATTGATAATGTAGCATAGATACAAACTGGACCTTCATATCAATAAAGTAAAATACTGTTAGGCGTCTGAGTAAGGACCGACTCACTCAAGTTTCAATTTCCATACGTTTGTCTGAGTTGTTTGAAGAATGAATAAATCAAAATAGTTGGATCCTGATATTCCAGGCACCTCCACCTGTATTGAAGGAAATCCATTTTCATCTGTCACGAGAGTTGCAAATTCCATGTCGGGACGCCGACGTATTATGACAGAAGGGAGTTTCATATTCTTGTATATTAATGAATTTGTCACGTCATCTCTTTCAATGATGGGTCCCTGCGGATTCATTGAGCTTGCATCAAGAGCCGTTACGTTGTACGATATAATAATTTCGTTTCTGTCTGGAACTGATATTTGTGCCTGTCTTCTGATAAAGTCCAGGTCAATTTTAGCAGAGCATTCCATCTCTTTCGCACATTGAATAATGCATGAAGACGATGAGAATATGTAACCGTCATAAGAAGGCATCGAAACATCAAATCGACATAGTAATACTGCTTTGCTCTTTGCAACCAAATGCGCATTCTCAACGCTGCAGAGGGCAAAGAGATCTGGGATATAATTACCCTGCATTTTGAGTAGATGACTACTAAGAAAAACATATATGCTTGACATGTTGTAGTTATGCCTTGATTCAACGCCGCCAATTTTTGCTTCAATAAATCCAGATTTAGTAGGCTGTATTACGAATATGGATCGTGCTCCAAAGTAAGAATCCGTGAATTTTTCAAAACCAAGATCAGTCGGTTGGGTAAAAATACCATACTCAATACCTAAAGCAATTAAATTTGTAAAAATTTTAGCCACCTTCAGAATGATGAAAACATATGGATACCACGACAAATAACGTGGCGACAGGTCGGCCCCACAACATGTCAAACCACAATACAAAAATACAGACAAAAGAGGTCAAGTGAAAAAAACTACCATTAGTGCATTAAAACAAGTGCATACGTAAATTTAGTTGACGTTAGACAAGAAGGGGAATTAAAGCAAAAAACCAAACAAGGCAATTTATCAACATTAAATATACGTTTTTTTGGCTAAAATTGAACGGGATAGAGTGTTATACCTATTGCTAAAAAAAATTCGAAGCAATCACACACATGATAACATAAGCATTTCTCTATAGTCCGGAACTCCTTTCAATAAAAACTGATCTCGTGATGTAAATTTTAAAACCGCCGTTGGTGTAAACAATTTTCAAATTTTTATAGCAGAATGATCAAGTGGTTTATTTTAGGTGTGGCCAGTCTATTTGGAAAGCTGAGCGTATTACTTACATTTTGATTTCCAGGTTTACCAGTTCTTTCTTTTTCGTTTTTGAGAATGCCGATTGCTGTAAACTAAAAAAATAAGGCGTATCTTAAAAATGATTTATAAAAGCAATCCCATTATAAATGACATATTTTTATGGCCTGTTTATTTTTGCAAGTTCTTTCTACCGAATCGTATTTGACTTTCAAATATTGCTTCAGAATAAGCTAAAAATGACCTTAGGACTGATAAGGCATGGCTAAGTAGTCATGAAATTTAACATTTTCCTTTTGTATCAAGAACTTTCCTGAGCTCCACCGAAAATAAAATAATTATAATTCATTAAATAAGTATTTACAAAGTCTCATCAAATTACATTATTTACTTTGTGCGTCATTTTGGCTTTCTTATGCATGCTTTGTTTCATATTGCTAAAACTGCTTTTTGTCTCTTAAATAGCTTGGCTTAACGAAATGCTGAAGTAGAACATAAATGGATTTTGTGAGTCCTACATTTGCCGATAACTTTATGATTCCTGTCATTATTCATAACGTAAATAGCATACGCTGAAATATTTTCATAAATGGAGCGGCCAAGCTAAAATAGCAAGTATAAGCACACTGAATATGATAGTTAAATCAAAGTTTACTTGCTCTGTTTACCCGATCCCTTTGATAGGATCTGATAGGTCTATTAGAAAAACTACTTGAACCATACTTGATTTAAAAAAAAACAGAATAAGGCTGCTTGTTCATTCATTCGATGATACAAATAAACCCGGTCCTTATGCTCCAGATGTTTGCATAAATTAATTTTATTCTCGTTACATTTATCCCTTCCACCATCACAATGAAAACTATTATGTTTAAGTGATACCACATTTACTCCTCATAATTTATTAATTAAGTTAAAAATGTAATCATGGCTAGATGTCAATTTGATTATTATATTTCATAACTTCTGAGCTTCAATTTAGTTGAAATGAGATTCTGAGGACAGGTTTTGCTTGTAGGTATGAAGCACTATGAATGACGGCACTAAACTCTATTTAAGAAAATTTTAATTGATTGAGAAAAGATATGAATCGTCATAGTGTTCCTCTCTAACTGAGCCCCCACAGAAATCAAAGTTGAGTGTCCGAGAACCTCACAAAGTAATAATCTTTCCGCGACAATCAAAATACATTTGGGAAAGTACTTTGTGACATGGGAAGGTTAAGATTAATCTCATGACATGAATGACACATGTATTGGTTACATATATTTGCTTTGAGAGTCAGTGTAGTGCCTAATTATGGCGAAGTGTGTAATTTATCTTTTGCAAAGGGCCTTTGGATGTAAAACCAGACGTTAAGTATCTCTGGCTGTCCCTTAGTGCTGCGCTTTGCAAATTCAATCCCTGTGTTTAGAAATACTCTCAGAGATACTGAACGACTAATTAATTGCTTGATTCATGTTTTTTACAAATTAGATCTAATGACAGCCTAAACAATTATTGCTCAGATGTGAATTAAGGTTATGCAGAAAATAGAAAGTCACTCTACATTTTAAAAAACGAAATTTTGTTAAATTGCCAAGTTAAATTGTTGAGTTAAGGCAAAAGTAATAAAACCATTCCTTGTTTAGTACTTGCCTCAAAACAGGAAAATGTTATTGAGGGCCATGTTAGCTTGAAACCAGGCCGGGGCCACTACGTTAATTTTGCCCGGTTAGCGTACCCGCGAAGATGAAGGGACCAGAGAGCACAAGGCACAACCCTTTACTAGACAGCCCAACCAAGTTTCCTACTGATACAGTTGACTAGTAATGATGCAGACGCCTGAATAGTCACATAGAGCCGGTGGTGGTGGTACATAAAGAGGGGTGAATGAGCAGGCGGTCCCAGCGACTGACGGGCGTGCCGTGAAAAGGGGGACGTGTGTGAGTCTGCAACGACCGGGTTATTGGACGTGAATCAACACGATTCACTACAATGTCCCAGTTGGGGAAGCACTGGTTCAGTTTAATAAAAAGTCCACAAATCAGGAAAAGACTTGCGTTATGCCTAAAATATTACTGGTATTGTGCCCATTAATTTTGGGCTGTTTCTAAGATACACCTACGGCTTTTTCTACATGGACAATTATAACAGATTTGTTGTCTCCTTGAAGGGTCACTTTCATATATTATTAACATCTTCATGATTCTTCGTAATAAGTATTGTCAAATTCCTAAATTCCATAAAACTCCACTCCTAAGTTGTTGACAGAAGCAAAGATTTGGGAAATGATTAACTTATAAGCTTAGCACTCTGGGACTTATACTTCGTAATTACATCAATCTTCATTTTGTCAGATTCTTGGGTCGCAGATACGAAAACCTTTTAATTTGAGGTGGGTAAGTTGCCAAATAACCGCGCTACTGCTGGCCTACACGAAGCTCTTTCAATTTTGCGTTACTGGTCGGTGAGACTCTGGCGCACAGAAGCATCGAGCCTTGACTCCAAAACAGGCGTTGTTATTTTCCACTTTAAATCAATTGCTCAAATTAAAGGTTCGTTGACTTATATTGTCTTTCAGAGAATGTAAACTGACGCCGTTATTACTTACACAGGATAGCCTTATCAACATTATCACAATTTGATTGATAGTTTGTCAGAAAAAGGTGCCTTTTTAATCCTCAATGGCATCGCCACACAGGAATTGAAGGTCAACCAGGCTATTTTTCAGGTAACCTTCCTCTTTGGTTTAACTTTTGTAGATCTGAGCACACTCCAAAGAATTCGATAATCTGCAGTCTCATTACTGGTTGGTTGCTCTCACCTTGTCCCATAGTCGCCAATAGATTTTAATCCATTGGGCCTTCGACTCGTTCCCCCAGAACGTTGAATTCTTGTGTGTTGGCTGAAGACTTATAGACCACTGTTTACACCAGTTCCCTGTTTCTCTCAAATCCACACTCATCAGTTGCAATTTGGTGCCAACGATTACTGTCGTCTAGTGGTTATGCTTACCATTAATGTTTTGAACTCCAATTCGTAAATTTTTTTCGTCTTCTTTCGGCCAAAACATCAAGAACAATTGGCGCAATCGTCAACGCACAATCGGCTGATTCGGTTGTCAACAGCGGGTCAGCCACCAACGAAGGCAGACACCTGCACCGTTCTCAACTACCAAATCTACCCCACCTACTCATAGCTCCTACTTTAAGGAACTTTTGCAACTGGTTGCGGTCTAGCTTCCCACGATCCAGCAAGAAGACCGGACCAGATTCGTGAATTTAGAGTCCGAATCCTTTAATGATGCCTTGGAGAAGCTTTCACATCTAAATGAAGCAGTTCGGGATCCGTTTATGGCCCAATACATAGCTAACCGAAGTCCGCAATCCTCGACGGACTCTGCTGTCGTATAACTGGCCAGATTTCAAAAACACCTCCGCATCTCCTTCCACCTTTCCCTTTCACACCCAATCAAACGCACTCCTGGCTATAAATTCCCTTCCCACTGCTAAAAGTTAGCCTAACTTTGCACTTTCAACAGCAGGGCAGACGGCAACTTGTAGTGAACTTTTACCAAACGAGCGTGAGTGAAGCTCATTCACGAGTTGATCGAACGTCATCGATTGTCGACTAGAGTTGATGTTCGAGATGCACTCACGCGCTGTACTATAAGAGACTTGGGTGATCAAATGTAAATAAATCCTTATTGTTGCCATCATCGTTTTTGCCTCTCTTCTCGGGTTGTTACGGACTGTCGACTAGCAGGGTTGTAGGGTAACGTTAACCGAGGCGTTATAAAACCGAAGCCACTTCCTCAGCTCAACGTCCCCCGCCTATCTACGACGCCGATCCTTCAAAACGGGGCTACTGGAACCTTGTTGGCACGGCCCAGAGGTTACTGTTGAGTGATTGCATTAAAGCAGTCCACATTCTTGCCATCTATTAAAAAGCAACCTCCTCCAACAGGTACTGCCCGTTAGTGATCAGTGAGTTAAAATAGTAATGGGAAAATTAGCATTTATTCATGGCAAGTGTTGCAGCGAGTGCCTTGGATCTTATGGATGTGAACCAAAACGCAAACAATTGAGTGTTATAAAAAGATAACAATTCTGGCGTAAACAATTAATAGTGACACCATGGGCTCGCCTCATTTCACATGGGTTCGATTTCCATAACTTTATCATTCACACGGGTTGTACCATTTTCAGGGTGATGACTGCAGCGGCAAACTGGAACTCCTATTGACCAACAAATGACTACCTTACGGTGGAAGCAGCCAAGTAGGTTTGCGTACCTTCACGGACCACTATCCTCTACGCGTGGCAGGAGGTGCAGGACACCCAGCAAGTGGGACTGCGAATCACACCACTAGCCTGGCGCAGTTGCGGAACACCGAACACACCACTGAAGCGAGCAGGCTCACAAGGATGCAGAAACTTAGTTCAACCCAAACCTTCAGACTGCCACTACCTAAGTCGTTGTTGTACGCAGACAGTTAAAACTGTTGGGGCTAAACGCAATCGGCCAAAAAAATTTTCAAGCACGGTGCACTAATTAAGAGCCTTACAATCCAGTTGCAAGGCCAAGTAAAAAATTTCGATAAATTAATTCGAAGCGTCGCACGAAGTTAGAGTGCGCTGTTGGGTTTTGACTTGATTTACCTACTCAACTGTAGTATCGCTGATAGGAGAGATTTATGACAGATTTAACCACAATCATAAACAGACTGGCATTACCTGATGTGTTGGAAAATTGAAGCCCTAATTAAAAGAACAGGAAGTTTTGAAACAATGTAATATAAAAATAAAACATCAATACATGGTTAAAAACGCATAGGATGCACAATGATTATGAAATATACAAAAAATAAACACAAAGTAACTGTGAACAGACTGCATTTTGCTATGGACCCAGGCGATTGAACGAACAGTAATCGTCAATCTGACGGAGAAGTCGCTCAACATGTTGGGAAACGACATCCTCAGTATTTTTGTTTAGTCGCATCGAAGGCCGCACGTCCAGAGTAAAATCGGGGCCAAACGAGACCAGATTCGCGTGGTCTGGGATGTCTTGGTCCAGTTCAATTCTGCACAAAAATGAACTGGAGCTGTGATAACGGTGGCAGAAAGTAAACGAGTGAAGAAGCCAAAAGAATATCAGTTATAGGAAGGTAATGAAAGGGACTCAGTAGGTAGACGGAACGACTAAATTAAGGACCACTAGTTTGCTTACTTCTCTTCGCTGGAGCAAGAGAGCGCTACGGCAGTCAGCATCGTCCACAGACGCGCAGTGTCACCAAAGTGGTAGCCGCCACCACCAAAAATAAGGGTAGGGAGATGCCAGTTGAGCACTAACTCGAGCGCAGAGATGTAAGCCGATTTGTGAGTGACGGTCGAAGCCGATAAGTTAAAAATTCGATGTGGGTCAGAGGAAAGGGCGTCAGCTCCGCACTGAATAAAAATGGCGATTGGTTTTACTGACCGATGAAGGGCTCTGAGAACAGGTTCTACGGCAGACCACCAGGTTTGGTCGTCTGCGCCTTCAGCTTAAAAAAGTGAAAATTAGGGTAGAATTACAGATCCACTTTCTCACATACTAAATGACTGCATACGCTGGTAGCCATAGCTAGGCATGATGACAACAAGCATTTGGCGCCCAAACCTAGAAACATAAACCGCTCTCGATTGCCAATGTTGTCATACTTCTTAACTTATGTGGCACTAAGGAAAAGAAAGCATGCAAGTGTTTGTCGCATTAGTTCGGAAATGAAATTACGCACTGGATTTATTTTACCACAAACGTATCGTTTGATGTCGCATTAGGGCAGGGACATGAAGTTGGTAATTGCAGGCAAATGTGCACAGATTGATTTTTTTTTGAAACTACACAAAGGGGTCGCGGGAGAGTAAGTTGACTGCAGGCTGTTCGAGAATCGTAGTTTTTAATCATTACGGCGAGTGATAGTGTGGAGCACTACGTCATTCCGTCAAAAGGCCAGGAGGCTTCTTATTCCAAATTACCGATACTATAAACGAATGACTAATGTTGAATTTAACTTTAAGAGCTAAAGCACATTTGAAAACTTTGTGCTGAGCAGACTGGCACTTCGACAGTACTCACGGTAGACAACCACTGTTACTGAGGTCTACAATAATTAGGATTCTATTGTCAGAACGCTAAATTGTCATTAAAGCAAATTATCATAATTTTCACATTAACAAAAGAACATCTGTGTTAGGTCGCACGAAGAACTACATCTTCGACACCAAACTTGACGTAATGATTCAGGCTGAACCTATTGACTCACCCAAGGGAAGATTGAAACACGAGAACCGACCACCACGGACACCTGTGAAATAAGCACCATTTGACTCATTCGTTACACCAGTGCCTGGGAAAAAACCCGCAGAGGCATGATGGACTGAGAAGGTAATAACGCGTGATGTGCATGCGAATGCCTCCTCGACGCCGTCACCATGATGAAGATCAAGGTCAATATATAACAAGGGGCCCATAGAAAAACTGGGGGAAGATAGGAGACGCTGTGCGCCCAGAACAATGTCATTAAGATAGCAAAATCCGGATGCCTCGGCCCGCTTTGCATGGTGCCACCCCCCTGCCCAGTTGATAGCAACCTAAAAGGTAGAGACCGATTTACTGAGTTTTGGTACACATGATCATTGCTAGCGGTTTTAATACCAATTCTCTTGCTGGTCAATATGCGGTCCAAAGACAACCTATTGAACGAAGACGGTCTAACCCAGGTTCGCGTAACACATCAGAATAAGCACCGTTAATTGTTAAAAACCTACCTCAATATATAAAATCGGCCCGCTCGAATAATAAAGCTTACCCGACATTGGGAATTAATCAAACAGTCAACAGCGGCCAAAGTTCCTCTAACAGCCGATAATGCGTACTCATACACTCCAGGAAAACCCTGGCAATCGTAGCTAAGACCAAAGTTGTCCAAAAATTCGGAAACATCATCAGTAACATCTGGCTCTTCATTCTCAGAGTGAAGATCATCCAAAAACTGCAAAGCTTCGATATAATCCTTGCTAAATTCAAAAAAAATGTGAGGTATGTTGTAAACAGAACAAGGCAAATGAGGCGATGGATTCAGAACATTGACCTTATAATTTCAACCATCCATTCTTAATAAAGCCGACTTGAAACAACGGCAGAAATGCGTGGAAATATCACAGCACATATAACACTACGTTAGCTATCCAAATAAAACGTTCGAAAACCCAAAGATTTAAAAAGTTCGCAAGTACAGGCTCACCTGAGGTCATAAATGACTTGAGTAAGCCAAATGTTAAGGAGGTACTTAAACAGAGTACACAGGAGTAAAAGAGCCATTTACCAGTGGAATGTCGTAAGGTACTGCTTTTCGAGGAGATGGCATCGTTCCAGAGGTGGTATCCTGAACATTTTCTTTGTCAATTTGTAGGCATAAATCAGGCTCATAACAAGTGAAAAACGATTTCCATATTTAGGAGACCGGCAAGAGTGTTTGTTTAATTCATCAGAATACACAATGCCAACTCGCGAAGGCATTCCAACCAAGCAAGATTACTGCGTTGTGTGGTGTGGTGTTGTGGTGTGGCGTCGGATTAGGGCGCAGACATGTCGGATCACCTGGACTCAGCCAATCCCGTGTCTCTCTGCGATCCAATGGCATGCGGGAAAGGAAGGCAGCCAACCAGAGAAGGACA